AAACACAAACTCTCTCTCTTTGGCTTTCTGACTGAGGATTCCTAGCGTCTTCACCAAAAGGGATTCACTGCGTTGGATCGTGCACCGGGATCTGGATTGCGTGGATACCATAGTTGAAGACAAAGCTTAAACTGTAAGTTCTCGCGATCTAGGATCAAAATCGAATAACTATAACCGAATCTTCTTGTTGGTAAGAAAATTTTAAAATTCCGCTGCGTGTGCGATTGATTCGTACGACAAAAAAACCAACAAAAGAACCCATTTTTATTGCTACTCTTCTTCGCCTCCGCAGCCCCCTCTCCCTCGGCCGCCACCGCCGGCACTCATAACACAACGCCATGTGCCCGAACAGCTTATCCTTCCTCAAACAACGCCATGTGCCCGAACAGCTTATCCTTCCTCGAGAAGCTCGTGCCGCACGTGCACTTCCATCTCTTCTCCCCACACTGCCTCCAATGGCTCCTCAGATCCGCCATCACCGAGAAGCTCTTCCTGTTGCACCGATTGCACGAGTACATCTTCGGGCAGTGGCTCCGCCGGAAGTGGTTCTTCACGCAGATCGGGCTCTTCAGTGGCCGGAACCTCTCGTGCCGCCGGTTCCGGTTGCAGCCGGCGTGCGGGCACGAGAACCGCGTCTTCCGGCCGCCGGTGGGCGCGGCGGCGCTCGATTCGGGCTTGAACAGGGCCTCTCGGGTCTTGAACCGGTTGCCGTGGGCCCGCATGTGCATCCGAAGGTTGGCGTCGCGCTTGAAGCCCTTCCCGCAGATCTCGCACAGGTGGACGTGCTCGGCCAGGAGCTCCACCTCGTCCATCTCCACGATCTCGTAGCCGTCCGATTCGTCGGCCTCCGGTTGGATCTCGGGTTTCGGATCCACCAGCGCCGGATCCGGCCGTGGCGAGCTGGTGGGCGACAACAGGGCGGCGCCGTTGACGATGATGTGCTGGACGGCGGAGGAGATCTCGGACAAAATAGCGTCGTTTTGGAATTGACCGAGTGGGGTGCGGGCGTTGACTGAATCGGATAGGAACCTACGGACGGCGTCCAGGCGGGAGCGGACGGCGGAGAGGTTGGCCAGGGCTGCGCGGGAGTCGGCGATGCCGGGAAAATGAGGGGGGATGGAGGTGGGGACGGGTGGGTTGGTGGCGGCGGGGGTGTGACGTGTGTCGCCGAACAACATCTTTTACTGCAATTTTGGAGAATGAATATTATTTGTGGGGTTTTCTTGAAAAAATTCAGAGGAGGTTTGACTTGGCTTTATGAGAGCACCCACAATGCTTTGGGTTTCTTAGAAAAAAGTTACATGCCATGTAAGGAATATACCTAGTCTATAAAAAAGTGTTCTCCAATGCAATTAAAAGTGGAACTAGTCTAGCTTATGTGGCAATAAAAAAATGAGACCTAGTCCACACTTGGGTCTATTTTAGACCCATGTACAAACCCAAGCACTCATCATTTATTCCTCATTTAATTTTTCTTTTAATAAATGAAATATACTAGAGCATTTTTATTGGTTGTCATGTATTCTAGACCTAGTACTTTTTAGTTTTGCATTGGATAGATTTTGGTTTTTTTAGTTTAGGTTTGTCCATGTCATTATGGACTTAAGTCTATTGATTTGCCACATATGCAAAAAGAGACCCAAAGCATTGTGGATGCTCTGAGTGATGGGATCCATAATTGGACACATTATTTATTATTATCCACTTCTGATAGTGGGACATACGAAGGCCTCTTCTCAAGGAACTAAAAATGTATTAAAAAATTAAATTAATTAAGGGAAAAGTTAAGGTCTCGTTAAGACCATTTTATCGGGGTTTGTAATTATTATAACAGTTACAAACACCGATAAAATAATTTCATAGCAGGATTGTAGTATCTTCCATTAATTAAACACCTTGCAAATACATGAGAAAATAATGATAAATGATATAAATTATAATTCTACTAGTATTAAAATAGTTTTCAATATTAATATAATTTTTATGTTCTTTTATTTAATGTTATACAACAGTTTAATATATAATTTATATAGCATTTGACTTTCATAGAATAACAATCCTTTCAAGTTCCTGTTTAGAATTAAGGAAAATAATAATTTAATATATTCAAATATTGTCAATAAATAATACTTACGATTATACTTCCTCCTGTCTTCTCTTATTCTTACCTTATTACAACATATTATTTTGATTCTTAAGTTGTGGTAAAGTTACAATTATTGGTAAAGTTAAAAAGTCAGTGACAAATATTATCAACTGACATTTAATTTTACAAATATAGTGTATATTACTTTGAAGTTACAATTAATTTATCTTAATATTTCTTCAGATGATCCGCTGGTTTATAAACATATCTTATATCAATAAATGTTATAAATATTTTAGTTTTTCATTTTAAGTTTATAATTTACCTTGCAGTTTACAGATGACTCGTTGGTTTATCATAATTTATAGCAATATATGGTATATTTTGATTCTTTTATTCTAACAATTTACATGGGAGTTCAACAAACGACCTTAGTTTAGCATTTTAATATCGTATATACTTTACCCCATAAATTAAATTTGCTTATATTTTTATATTTTCTTAGCATTTCTTTTTTGAGCACATGAGAGATAACACACATCGATTACTATTTTAGATTATTTTGTGCTAAATACAATTTATTTTTTTTGTATGAGTTGCTAGAGTCTAATTTTTTATTAATAAATCAATAAATATGATACTTCTAGAATTTGATGTAAATAAGGTCCATGTATAATGGATCAAAAATTAGAGCGAGTGAAATCAATTTAGGAAGCACAATTTTTTGTGGGAAAATTTTCAAAATTAGTCCAACAAATATAGGGGGTGACAATTTTGGTCTCAACAGAATGCAAAAAATATGAAAACTTTTTAAAAATGATCAAAAGTATGCCTTTTTGTGCCGGAATTACTATTTCGATGTGGCTTATTTTCTTACACGCTGGCATCCGATGTAGATAAGGAAAAATTCAAAACTAGTCTCACAAGTATAGGGGTGTGACATGTTTGGTCCTACAGGTATGCATAAAAATATGAATATTCCCACAGCTCGTGTAAAAAAATAAGCCACATGTGCACGACGTGGAGTTTCGGGCCGAAAATAGTAAATCCGGCAAAAAAGTTCTACTTTTGATTATTTTTAAAAAATTGTGTGACTATTCATATTTTTTGCATTCCGTTGAGACCAAAATTGTAACCCTAAAGGACTACTTTGATCTTTTTCCCTTTTTTGTGTGAGCCTAACAGTGAAGTAGTCTATCAATCATACAAAATGAATATGTGGGGCTAACACAAAACCAACAAAATGGAGGTTTGGAAAAATTTAATGGCAGTGCACCATAGTTTGGGATTGGTGGGAAGATGACAAAACTTCTTGACAATATTTCAACTAATGACTTCATGATTGTGACCTCAATTTCATTATTGGACTTGACTTCGATATTTTTTTTAATAATAATAATAATAATAATAATAATAATAATAATAATAATAATAATAATAATAATAATAATAATAATAATAATAATAATAATAATAATAATATCATCATAATGCTACAACTTGTGATTGACATATTGAAAATAATAAAGAAAAACAAGGTTACCATCTCAGGCTTAGAGTAATTCTGAACTCCCAAGAAATCAGCTCCACAACTCTCACATAATTTCAGTATACATATAACTTTCACAAAATTAGTACTAATTGTTCCGTGCCTCAGGTTTCCACCAGGAATCGATTACTTAAAACTTTCCCTGTATTGCATTATTTTTTTTTTATTTATTCAACATGATGAAAGAGTTGACTAAAATCACAATAAAAGTTGCCGAGACCCACACATTTGTCGCTGAAAGAATTGTCGTCATTGCCCCGGAAAATCCCAACATTTGTCGATGAAAGAATTGTCGTTGCCGAGACCCACGCATTGCCGAGACCGCGTGTGCCCATGAAGTCCCGTGCGTGGCACTAGGAATCACTCGCCCAGATTGTTGGGAATATCACTTGTGTGTTGTCCCACATTGATTTAATAGGGTAAATGTGCCTAGTTTATAAGTCTAGTGGGCTACTCCTCCCATCACAATTAGTTTTGGGATGGAATCTCATTTGGGCTTCAATTTGGGCTTCATTTGAGTTAATGCACTTCACTTGTGTGGAACTGCACTTATTTTGCCCTAATTTGACACAGATCAGCGCCTGCTCGCTCGCTTGCACACCTGGCGCGAGGAATCACTCGCCCAGACCTACGCCTGCAAGCTTGTAATATGATATATTGTTTATGATTTTTTTTTTTTTTTTCTAATAAAAACCAACTTCTTTAATATAATTTTACAATTGCGCTATATTCTTATTTTTCTGTAATATGATAAATTATTTATGATTTTTTACTAACAAAAACAATATAAGCACGTGTCACTGATACTGCTCCATGACCTATAATTTTTCAGGATCCGCTCCTAATTTACGTGGCAGCTTCTAAGGTCCATGGGTTACACGTGTCATTGATACTGCTCGCAAATCACGACACGACATGCACTCTCACTGCCACCTATCTATGGCTAATATATAATATGTATATATACACACACACTTGCATTCATATCAAACTTACTGGTATTGATAATACCGATTAAAAAAAATAAAAGGATAAAAAAAATAAAAAAAAAATAGAAAATGGCCTTGATTCCAAAGTACGCATACACGGTGGTGTACGTGAAAGACGTGGCCAATTCCATCGCATTCTACGCCAAGGCCTTCGGCTACCAAGTCCGCCGCCTCGATCAATCTCACAGGTATATATAATAGAGTTAGAGTTAGAGTTAGAGTAGATCCAGGGGCGAATCTAGCGAACCGAATGAGTGGGGGCCTAGTCGTTAGTAGAAAAAAATATATAATAATAAAAATATAAATACAAAAATATACATTTATAATATACTTATGAGTTTTCATATATAGCTCAACATCGTCCTATAATAATATTGTTGAATTTTTTATCGCACTTTTTTTTGGCCAAAGTCTAACAATATTAGAATTCACTTCAAGTATATTTGGAATTAAAGTATCTCATTTCAAAACATTTTAACGTGAACTTTTTTTTCGAGACATTTTAAAAAAACATTTCTCCATATTTATAATGTATGAAAAAAAGCTATAATGTATAAAGTGCTTTACTAATATATAAATAAAACTTGTAAGATGCTACAATTTAAGTTATTAACCACACACAAATTATAGTAGATGGTATTTTTTTATGAATAAAAAGAAACAATCAATTAACTAGAAGAGTGCTAAAAGATAGAATAAGTGTGTAATTTTTCTTTCAAGTTTAATAAAAAAAGGTAAAATTACTTTCACCAAAATTAGTAAGAACAAGGATTTCTTTTCCCCATTACTTCTCTCTTTTCATTTTTTTTTTTTTTTTTTTTT